TGCCGAAGGGCAGGGAGGGCCGCCAACGCTGCGGGACCCCCGTACCTCACGAGAGTCTTTCGTATGAAGAAGACACCCTTGCAGTTATGCAGGGCCAAGCGCTTCCACCGCCTGAGGAGAAGCTTCAAGAGGCGCCTCACTGACGTTCAAGAGCAGCGGCGCCGCCTACAACACCGGCTCGGGCAGCGCCGCTTGTATCACGCCTCCCGGAGGACGGGAAACCCAGCCCCGCTCGGATTGGCTGCGTCACACCCACGTTCCGCATCACCACCGCCTTTCCCACCCCCTCCTCATCCTGCAGCAGCCAATCAGAGGAAGGCAGGGGCGGGGCGAAGTGAAGCGTCAGGCACGTGACGCGCCTGGAAGGGCAGGGAGGGGAGCAGAGGGATGCTTGGTGGCGGCGCACGCGGGACCTGCTGCCTTGGCACCTTCCTGGCCTGTCCCTGCGCAGCCTGGGGCTGCTCTGGGGCATAAAGCAGTCAGCCCCCCTGCTCCAGGGCAGCTTAGGGTATCCCTTAAATGAGCAGGGACCTGGCAGGTGCAGTGGTGGTGTGTGCGGTGGCTGGCCCCACTCAGGGGGTTGCCTGGGGCCAATGCAGAGCCCAGCTTTTAAATTCAGGACAAAAGTTTTCAGGGTCTTCTGGGAGATCAGAGCGTGGTTCTGAAGCCCCTGCTTGTCCGAGGATGCAGGACAGTTGGTGTCTGCCTTCCCCTCCCTAAAGGACAGATCTAGCTCAGTCCTGCCAATCTGCTGCCAAGCAGCTGCACCTTCCAGCTCCAGGACCCAGAGCCCACACTATGCCCAGGCTGGCCTCCCCAGAGCTGTAGGGGCCGCAGGGCAGCATTTGACCGGTTTCTGCACAGGTACAGCTCCAGGAAGCGGTGAGGAATGGGGGCAGCTGCCTCACACAAAATCCCACTCCATTGGCAGTTTCCCCTGCAGTGTGCATATAGGTCTTGTGCGTTTTCATTCCTGGTCCCAAGCACTAGCTTCTAACCAGATGATGGCTGGCTCTTAAGTGATGATAGCACCCTAGTGAAGAACAGGAGGGGTTTTTAAATTGAAAATTGGAGCCCCCTAACTTCTTGGGGGTGGCATCTCTGTATAAGCAAAGCAAGTAGCTGATTGGGGCTTGACTAAGCAAACTCCAACAATGTGCATTTTCTTCCTATCCAGCAGCCAGACGAAGTATCAGCTCAGCCCCACTACTACACAGCACTAGCAGGGTGAAAGGAAGGTGCTGGTGGAGCTGGTGACTCTTTTGTGGGACAAGAAATGTAGGCAAATTGTGAAATCTTTACAAGAGCTTGGGGTCTCTACCTACTTAGTAGGGTTTGGGTAGCTGTGGTTTGGATTTGTTCTGGGAGATGATTGGTATATCCTTTGTAATTCATATCTTACATGCTACAGACTGAACCTTTCGAAGTGGAGGGCAAGGGAATTGATTCTCCTCACCTCATCTCAAGCTTGTTGCAGGAATTTACTACTGTCTCTTTCATTTAGAGATATTATGCATCACTTTCAACTTGAGGCATATTAGGTGTTTTCAGGCAGTGTCATGAAGAAAAAAGTAAAGGTATCACGTCTATAAAACATTTAGTTTCTGTCACCTTAACTCAAAGGAGGAAAAGAATCTTAATTTGATTAGAATCCTGATGGTCAATACAAGAATTGAAAGGGAGAAAAAGAGGCAGAAGGATGAAGAACTGAAGTAAGAGGGTGAGAAAGGGAAGTTAGGAGAAGATTTGCACAGAGGGGCAAGCACATTGATACTAATGGAGAAAGGGGAGAGGAAGAGACCAGGTAAAGGAGGCTTAAACAAAGGCAACAGAAAGGAAAAATAGAATAAAAGGATGACATTTTAATAAAGCAACATTATTATTAAAAAGGGAAAGGACAATATTTAACAGAGAGAATAGGAGGTGGGGGGTGTTGAGAGATGAAAACTGAAGAGAAAAGAGGCAGTGCTATAAAGAAATGTCTTGAAAGACAGTGAAAAGCAGTGCTGGGGTGGAGTGTTGTAACCATGATGATGCAGGAAATGAGAAAGAAGCAAGGTTTTTGAGAGCACTATCTTTTATTAGACCAACTGTATAGTAGGGAGATATTTTAAAGCTTTTCTACCATTTCTCCTTACTATACAATTGACCTAATAAAAGACATTACCAACTCCCCCCCCCCAAATACAAACAAACCTAAAACCAAGCAAACTAAACCTTTGCTTTTTCAAGACAGGATAGTAAGATTGTGAGGCTTTAAGAAAAACTAAATTGACCACCTAATAAACTAACAAACAAGTTAGGAAAATTAATATAGCAAAAATACATCACTGAGACTTCACTGAGTCAAATTATGATTTTTATTACACTGCTATAAAGCTTCAATAACTCATAGAAACTCAATGGGTTTACTTCAGAATAACACCAGTGTAAAATCAACCAGAATCTGACCTTTGAAGTTTAAAAGAGATAAAATGTAGAAGGAAAAAAAAATGCGTAAATATTTGTAGCCAGTGCTTCAAGTTAAATTTTATCGGAAGTTTTCTTCAAATGACAAAATACTTCCATGAATAACGATATGTTTACCTGTAAACATTTTTCTTATATATTTTGTAACATTACAAGATACATCCATCTCACATTTAGTCCTGTCTGCTTTTCCTTTATTCCTTTATCCTGAGGAGTTTTGTGTATGGACCAGGCCCTCAGTGTGCAGTATCAGGGGGAATAAAAAAAAGAAAAGGTTCATACCCCAAAGAGCTATCCATCTATGAAAAAGACAACAGGAAAGAGAGAAGTACTGACAGATGGTGAATACAAGGAATCAATGAGAAATTATTGCTCATCATACTAAGCAGTGATTTCAGCCTATCAGCAGCATAACAGATGTTAAGATTTTTATGGGCTTTGGGGCAAGTGAAAGATATAAGGAAAGATTTGGAAGAGGATAATGGCTTATATTTCCAGTTTTTTGTGAGGAGCTCCTTTTGTGTGTAAGAGGCAATGCAGGAGAAAGTCTGAAGGCACTTGTTTAAAAATTAGGTGGGACAGAGAAAGTAACATTGTGGTTTGATTAGTGGCAAAAGTCAATCCCTGGATACTGCATAAGAAAAGTAAGATTGTGAAGGGTCTTGAAGATGAAGACAACATGTAGCTTACGTTTGATGCCACTTTCTAAAAACACTGGTACGCTTTTAGAGATTTATTAGATTTCATTGATGTTAAGGCTGGAAGGGACCTTGCAAGATCATCGGGTTCAGCCCCCTGCCCAAAGGGCAGGCAGTCAGCAGGGGTCAAATGATCCCAGTCAGATAGGCATCCAGGAGTTTCTTAAAGGAATCCAGAGGAGGTGCTTGCACCACCTCTGGGAGAGAGTCTGTTCCAGGCCTTGGGGGCTTGGACAGTAAAGACGTTTTTCCTTATGTCCAGCCTAAAACGGTCTTCCGAGAGTTTGTGACCATTGGACCTAGTCTTCCTATGGGGTGCCCTGGTGAACAGATGTTCTCCCAGTTCATGATGCACACCCCTTATATACGTATAGGCTGCCACCAAGTCACCCCTGAGTTTTCACTTTTCCAGGCTGAAGAGTCCCATGTCTCTTAGCCTGTCCTCATAAGGCCTGCTTTCTCATCCTGTAAGCATTTGCGTGGCTCTCCTCTGGACACTCTTGAGTTTTCCACATCCTTTCTGAATTGCAGAGTCCAAAACTGGACACGGTACTCCACCTGCGATCTCACCAAGGCTGAGTAAAGCGGGAGGATGACTTCTTGGGTCTTGTTTGAGATGCATCGAAAGATGCAGGGCAGAGTTTTGTTTGCTTTGCCGGCTGCAGCGTCGCATTGGTAGCTCATGTTCATCTTGTGGTCAATCATGACCCCCAAGTCTTGTTCAGATGTGGTGCTAGCTAGTGTAGGACTGCTGAGCCTATAAGTGTGGTGTGGGTTCTTTCTTCCAAGGTGGAGCACGTTGCATTTCTCAGCGCTGAATGCCATCAGGTTTTGATCTGCCCACCTTGTAAACCTGTTAAGGTCGGCCTGGATTGGCAGTCTATCCTCTAGGGTGGTTGCACTTCCCCATACTTTGGTGTCATCAGCAAACTTAGCCAGTCCGCTTATAACACCCAAGTCCAGATCATTTATAACACTGTTTATAACACCCAAGTCCAGACACATTGAAATGTACAGGTCTGAGAACGGAGCTCTGGGGGACACCACTGGTTACAGTGTGCCAAGTTGATTTGGTTCCATCAGCTATCACTCTCTGTGTCCATCCATGGAGCCAGTTCCCCAGCCATTGGACCATGAGATTGTCTGGGCTACAATTCCCCATTTTCTCCATGAGGACATGGAGAAGCCTAAAAAAAGGGAAGGCTGAGAAAGGACTTCGTAGCAGCTTAGTGCTACATCAGGGGAGTACATCAAGGGCTCAGCAAATCTTTTCTCTTTCTGGGCCATTAAAAAAAAAATGTCTGCCTTAATGGCTGTCCTAGGGTTTGTATAGATAACCTGTTGTGTTTTGCTGCCAGATAGGTTTGCATGACATTTCCCATTGTGGTCTAGATTGTAACTAGCTCCTAAATTGGTGTGCAAGGTACAGATGAGGTGCATCAACTCTTATCACCTGAATCTCCTAGCATTTTTGTCAGCACAAGAAAGCAGTGTCAGGTTCCAAATGAAATCCTACCTCCTTGTTGTCTGTCGGGAGATATGCCACCTACTGCATTATTCTGTGAGATGCTAGGCATTTGTATTTGCTTGTATACTTTGGGACTGTGGAAGGTACAGTTCCTCCTGAAACTCTCTGTGAGTTGATTCAGGCACGTTTTGTACAGTGGCTAAAAGCCAAAACCATGTTCTTCATGTGTATTAATTCTACAGGGTAATTTAAGTGATCACTTTGGACCATTTGGCCCTATGAGCATTAAAGTCAGTTGTATTTCATGAGGGAAGGTATCAAATGAATAGATATCGGCCCAATACTGCCACCATTACAGATTGTTTTGCCAAAACAGCCATGCATTCCAAATTTGTGCTAGACAATCATATTCTTCCTTCACAATACCTATGTTCTAACTTAGTAGGTAACCTGGGGAAAAGAAGTGATGGCCCATTCAGGAGAGATTCTCACATTGGACTATTAGTAGCATAGGAATGTAGCTATCTATATGAGCCATCATAAAAAAATGACATTCTATTAGGATACTGATGGGATT